GTTCGAACGCTGTATAAGTTAATGGCAACAATGATGTTGGAAATCTGTACTGCAACGATGACATTCTTCTACTACTTCCAACATGAATCTTCCTCGAAATCTTCGTTATCAACTCCTCAAGAGTTATGTTTCTCTTCAATGATATTTTAACACGCTCATTTGATACGAAAACAATGTCGGTTTCATCTTCTCGAATTTCACCATCATAATAAACAATAGCTGAAAGTCGCGCCATTCTTTGAGTTTAAAAGTGCGACAATATTATATCTACAAAAAAACAACTGAAACAAAGTTGATTAAATAAATAATATATGAACAAAAATATAACACAATATAATTTTTACACATAAACGTAAATAATTTAAATAATATAATTTTATATTATTACTTGTACCGCAAAACTATTTCGACGTATGCTCCCACTTTCTAATTTTACAAACACATAAATTAATTGACAACAATTAGTATAATATTTTTTCAAATAATCATAATAAACAATAAATATGATAAAAATTATCACAAAATTACCTTATAACGAAAATCGCACGAACTTCTGAATCAAATATGAGAAGATTGTCTGATTGTTGTATGAATTTTTTCTAATCGAGAGGAGATGTGAGGAGTTACCGGGGGAAAGGGTATTTATAGCCGGGAAAAGCTACAAGACGCGGTACCTGCACCGCGCCTTACATAATTATATCATAAAGCTAAGACGCGGCCCCTGATCCGCGGCTAATATAATTGTGTTAAAGGTAAGGCGCGGTCCCTGCCCTGCGCTATACTCCAACGTGGCCTAAGGCGCGCCCCAGGGGCCGCGCTTTACACACGTGTATACCACGTCAGCATAAGGCGCGCTGCAGGGGACACGCCTTACCCCACGTGGCACCACATCAGCGTAAAGCATGCTGCAGGGGCACGCCTTTTTGCAAAGGGTGTTAGATCGAGAAATATAATATAAACAATGCCTGATCGGGAAAAAAAGTGGTGGACGGTGATATATCAGGAAAATCGCCTATCCTCTAATAGTGGGTGACAATGACAACATCAAGTGGGCATAGGATGGATGACAGCTTCACGTGGGCATGGGTGTAGTGCTATGGATGAGGACAAAATCTTGGGTCTACAGTATCTTGAGAGATTATAGGCTTCAGCCGTGCTTTATGGATTAGGAGCAGACTGTGATGTGGGCGGTGATGCATTGGAGAGGTAATTAGCTTCTTATTCGAATTCTTCAATTGCCTCTATGTGTACCTTGTAGGTTTTCCTACATTCTTTCAATGTATTTATTGAATTACCCAAAAATAAAGAATATTATTACGGTCATCTTTAAGTATATAAAAAATAATTATAATATTATTTTGGATCATATCGTATTTTTTTCACTCAACTCAACCTCAAAATTAAAGAAACTCGACCCAACTCAAACTTGTATTTTTAAAATTAAAAATTGATCCAATTGAATCAGATCAAAACTTTGTCAAATCCTAATAAAATTACTCTCACGTATAACATAGATCATTAGATGGGAAACCAAATTCAATGAATTAAATGTATATTAAAAAAATAGGATAAATTACACGTTTAGTACTTAAACTATATATTTTTTTGATCTATTTTAGTATTTAAATTTTTAAAATTTTCAAAAGTATACTTAAAGTTTAGTTTTTATTTTATTTTAGTATCCCTGTTCAAAATTTAACTTTAAATTTTAAATTTTTTGAAAGTTTAAGTACTAAAATAGACCAAAATTGACAGTTTAAGTACTAAACTCATTAAGTGTTTATCAGTGGGTTACTAAAATGAAACAAAAACTAAACATTATGTATGATTTTTAAAAAATTGAAAGTTTAGGTTAAAAAACAGACCCAAAATGATAGTTTAGGTATTAAATGCATAGTTTACCCTAAAAATAATTATTATCATGAAAATATCATTCAAATGGAGTAAAACTTGTAGATAAATTATTAATATATAACAATAATTTTAGATTAAATTACAAAATTGAAAATTTTAATTAATGTATTTCAGAAATAAATTTTAAAATTATAAATAACTTAAATTTTATGCAGTTATATTCGTAAAAATTAATTTTTCTATAAATAATTAAATATATTAATATAACATTATTTTAATATTATAAATGAAACGTGATATTATGTAGACGAATATGCCCAATCTAGATTCCTCGACGCCCGAGGCCTCAACAGCCATGGAGTTGACATCAACGGTCAAGAACAGCGAATATTTTTCTCCACGCAAGATCAACGTTCCATATTCACCAAATATTTATTAATTAGATTTTAATCCTTTTGTTTTTTGGCTTTGTTTTTCTTCCGTGTGTTTCGTAAACAACGAAGAGCCAGTCGCACAAAACCAGCTCTCGTTTCTGTCATTTTCCTCTCCATTTTCTCGGGAAAAAAACAAGAAGCATGGGAAAAGGCCCTGGTCTCTACACCGATATCGGCAAAAAGGCAAGAGGTGAAACTAAAGTTACTTGTTTCTTAGGCTGTCTTCAGTTTTTTTCCCATTTTCACTGGTTTTTTTAATTTAATTTAGATCTTCTTTACAAGGATTACCAGGCCGACCACAAGTTCACTGTCACTACTTACACTTCCAATGGAGTTGTGAGTTTCTCCTTTTAATTCTTGTTTTTGGATATTTAAACATTGATCCCCTTTCCAGCTGATTTAGTGAAGCATGCGCTATTATTTTGATTTATTTTCTTTGTATGAAACTATGAATGAACTCATATATTGGAACTTTGTTATTGTTGATCTCTCTTTCTTTTATCGATTATTAAGTCTATGACGTTTGCTGAAAAATATGTTTGCCAATTTCAGCATATTATTATTTTTTTTGGGGGGGGGGGGGTGGGGGGTTTCTAGTAATCTAGTTATGAAGATTAATATAATTTGTTTGCAGAAATATTTTTACCCTGCATAACATTGTGATTGAACTAGAGATTTTATATGAGACTTATATAATTGTTATCCTTGTTCTTCAATTTGATGGATATTCAGGCAATCACATCAACAGGAACTAAGAAAGATGAATTGCTGTTGGGTGATATAAGTACCGAGCTGAAGAACAAAATACATCACAACCAATGTGAAAGTTGACACCAATTCTAATGTAAGTTCTCATTTTTTCTCACAATTTGATAAGCTTTTAATTTTGAATGCCATATGCGTGTAATGGCAGAATTCCATCTCATTATGATGAATACAAAGTTATGGAATGTTTTTGTCTTGTACAGTTTTTACTCGTTCGTATTGGTGATTGGTGAATTTAACCCCTACCTAATCTTGATTTTTTTTTTAATTTTTTTTAGCTTTTCACCACTATTACTATTGATGAACCTGTGCCAGGTTTGAAGGCAATCTTTAGTTGCATTGTCCCTGATCAAAGGTCTGGCAAGGTAATGGAGACTTCCTTACTGTTGTACTTTATGTTCCTGATACCAACATTTTCAGCATCATGGTTTAGCGAATGTGTTGTAGCTTTGTTTTCCCCTTTCCTTCTGTAAACTTAATTGGCTTCACAAGTACATGACGAGGTTTTCATTGTCGTCGAAACAGGTGGAACTGCAATACCAACATGAATATGCTGCCATAAGCACTAGCATTGGATTGACTGCAAACCCCCTTGTTAACTTCTCTGGTGTGGTTGGAAACAACTGTCACTGTTGGGACTGATCTCTCATTTGATACTGCCAGTGGGAACTTAACAAAACTGAATTCTGTGTTGAATTTTACCCATTCCGACCTCATTGCTTCCTTGGCATTGTAAGTAGTTCTTTCAGCAGAGCTAGGGATAACCCTTTAGGTTTATATATATTCATGTGCACTCATATTTCTCTTATATGTAACTCCTATTGAATTTCTCTATGTGATCCTTGTCATTAATTACTTAAAACTGTTATTTCCGAAGCATGGAAGTTACCTTGAATTATCTGCCCGAGTGGATTCTATTATTTCTACTTCTTATGCTTCTGGTTTGATGAGGTATTTTTGTTGATTAACTACAGGAATGATAAAGGCGACACACTTAGTGCTTCCTACTACCACATAGTTAGCCCATTGACTAACACAGCAGTCGGGGCGGAGCTGACTCATAGCTTTTCAAGTAACGAGAACACTCTCACAATAGGTATGCAGCATGCTCTCGACCCGTTGACCACGGTGAAGGCTCGTGTGAATAACTTTGGCAGATCAAGTGCTCTGATCCAGCATGAATGGCGCCCGAAATCGCTCATCACAATATCTGGAGAGGTGGACACCACAGCAATTGAAAAGAGTGCTAAAGTTGGATTGGCCTTGGCACTCAAGCCCTAGGCAAAGGCAAAGGCAAAGCTATTATTGTTGTGTCAGTGTACGGCAGGCAGGCCTCGATTTTGATTGGTTGGGAGTTGGACAAAAAGTACCTCCATGGGTAAATAATAATTGTGATCGGCAAACTGAAATTAGTGATTCGTTTTGTTGAACAAGTTTTGTGTTGTCCATTCATCTGTGAAATCAATTGTTGCTTAAATTTGATTAGTTCACTTGTGAACTCATTTCAGTAACTAATTGTGCAGGCAGGCAAGGGATTAGTCATTAATCCGTTTCATTGCTTGATTTCAATGAAACCCTTTTTTTTTAAACATGTTGATTTGTTTTACCCAATCAAAATAAATTGGGTAAAATAAATCAGAGGTAACTCAACTATCTTACAATGACCATTTTAGTCACTAAATTTTCAAAGATAAAATAATTATTTTAAATTATCACTGAATATATTCACTGTGATGTTATTAAATTATATAAAATTGATAAATTTATGATCGTTTTAAACTATTTTAATAAAATTTACTTATTGTTCAATTTTATTAATGGTCATTTTTCAACTCTACAAGTTCAATAGTCAAAATATTCATTTGATCATAGTTCAGTGACCTTTGATATACTTCGACATTTTTGGGTCAGTCCATGCACACATGTATATTGAGACACATCTTTAGGTAAAACACCATAAAAACCTTTACACATATATTCATAAACTGAAGCAATGTTAGGTACAAATTCATAAAACTGCAATACCCGAATCATACACAACCATATATGCTAATGCTACAACCACTCTGCTTGTACAAAGAAAATAACTCCAATGGATTTATATAGGACACACAAACCTTAAACCTAAACCTTTTAAGACAGATAACCGTTCGGCCAAACTTCGATCACCACTCATCAAGGACAACGACCACTTGCCCAAATGTCGTTATTAAGTAGAATGATTAAAAGACACTCTGCTGGGTAGCCCAAACTGCTATGCAATACTCAAGGTATTCAGTTGCTCTGGCCAGCCTGAAGAAGGCCATCCCTGATTTGAGAAGCGACGTCTCTAACAGCACCTGGCCCGTGTGGGATGAAAACGGAGTTGGATTTTGACGACGCTCCAATCTCCTTCATTGTATCGAAGTATTGTGTCACAAGAACCATGTCCATGACATCCTTCGATGTTGTCCCAGGAACATTCACGGAGAAGGCCAAGACACTGTCCCTAAGTCCATCTACGATAGCCTGTCGCTGTCGAGCTACACCAAGCCCGGCCAGATATTTTGACTCTGCATCTCCTTCTGCTCGCTTGATCTGCAGTATCTTCTCTGCTTCAGCCTTCTCGTTCGCAGCCACCCTCATTCTAGCAGCTATTTATAACAAGACAACGTAGTATATCAGACCTATTTACAATATCTCTGTTAGACAAGCTAAATTTCGGGGCATATATAGTTATTTCTAATGATTTTCAGGCTAGCTAGGACACCAAACATTAGTAGACAAGGTACACTTTCGATAAATTAAGGAAAACAGAGCAAACAAAACGGTGAAATAAATACATATTATTCACAAAGCTGCATGTATCGTACCTGCATTTATCTCATTCATTGCCCTCTTCACATGCTCATCTGGTTCGATATCCACAATAAGAGTCTGAACAATCTCATAGCCATAATGTGACATTGCCTGAAGATTCAAAACAATGGGTAAGTTTCAGCTTGCACAAACTTGATTAATCCAAACCTAAAAACTACAAGTAGGCAGAGCGATACCTTTTCAAGTTCCTCTTCCACAGCTCTCGCTATATCATTTTTCTGTTCAAATACTGCATCCAGCTCCAGCTTAGGAACACTTGCCCTAATAACTAAAAGTATCGTAAACTTCATTAGTTTGCAGAACAGTGATCTACAACCATGTTGACTTAATTACGATGAAGTATGAGATGACATGATCAAACAAAAAGACATTGCTAAAGGTTCAGAGGACATGATGATTCTTCATAATATTCAAAATCCTCAAGACTGAAAACTGCGACCACACTACATATCAAAGATTCACATCCTCTCCACAAGATGAGGATAAAATGAAACCTAGATTAGTCATGAAACAGTAAAAGAGAATGATCATTTAAAAATTTCAAAAAGAAAATTGTATGGAAATCCTTGTTGAAACATTTCATAAGATGCAATATGGCAACTGAATTCCTAGTAATCATCCACTGATACTAATACAAGAATGTGACCTAAGCAGTGCAGGAAAATCCCAAAGCCAATCATGGTTCCGTAGACTATGGATGATGGATGATAATGGAGGCAAAAATGGTTCTGTAGAAGTGTAGATAATGGAGGATGAATGATGATGAAGTTTGTGGTAAGGCTGTTTAGATAGTCAAAATCCATGAAACAAAATCATAATTCGTACATATCCTGAACATAAGCTACTTTAATATAGAATAATACAATAATAGTGGGAAATAAAATATGTCACACATAAGACGTCATTAGCATTTTTATTCTTTGAAGTTTGGAAAGATTTATTAGTTTAGTTCAATTGCAAATTTTCAAAAGGTAAAGCCTGTAGAAGCAAACCAGATAAGTATTTAATACCCATACCAGATAATGGAGTATGAAAGATGATGAAGATAGTGGTAAGGCTGTTTAGATATTCAAAACCCGTGAAACAAAGTCATAATTTGTACATATCCTAAACATAAGCTACTTTAATATAAAACCATATGATAATAGTGGGAAATAAAACATGTCAAACAGAGGGCGTCATGAGCATTTTTTTTGTTCTTTGAAAGTTAGGAGAGATTTATTAGTTTAGTTCAGTTGCAAACTTTCAGTAGGAAAAGCCTGTAGAAGCACACCAGATAGGTATTTAATACCCACACCCCATATTTCAAACCAACACCCAAATGTGCAAACAAAACAAAATAGCATCCCGCACCCCAACAAAGCCACTTAACTTAGCCCAACATTTCCTTTGCAACAAGTGTTGATAAACTTACATAAGCACATAGCACATACTTGACATTCTAGAAGATAAGCAGAGCGGCTATCAATCAAGTTTTTACACAATTTAAGGAAAGTATACATACCATCAAATACATATGATTGGATTTGGGCGCTGGTATTGCTGAGCTTATAGAAAGCATCTTGTGCCTTTTCAGATAAGGCTCGGTATTGGATTGAAGCAACAATGTTAACAAACACGTTATCCTACTGACATAGTAAAATATCAGAATCAGCTAGAAAAAGAAAATGATGGGACTAAACCAAGATGCCCATGCTTTGAACTTAAATGCACACAACCAGCATCAACATATATGATTCAGTGGTCTGAATTCCAGTATCAAATTCAAACTTCCATTACTAAAGACTTATCACAATTTTCCCATCATGAGACATCCAACATGAAAAACTGAGTTCTCATCTCAAAATAACATCTCTTGGAGTTTGATTTCACTTAAATAAAAATTGAACTTGTTATGCATATATCAATCACGCAACAAACCTTCGTTTTTGTTTCACATTTAACATCCAATTGCTGGACACGCAAGGAGAGAATACCGGCTGCTTGCTTCCCAAAACACCAAGGCAGACAGTGACAACCAGGCTCAAGCACATCATTAAACTTCCCAAAGGTTTCGGTTATAGCTACAGTCGATTGATCCACTTGAATGCACCCAAGAACTTGCCCCATTTTCTGATCAGAACAAAAATTCCAATATCAATATGCAAAACACACCTTCAATCAATAGATTAAATTAACATCCAAATATGAACACAAAAAATGTTCTTTCACGCCCAGTTCGTGGAAAACTGAACAACAGATTCCAATAAGTCCTTTACTCCTTTAAATGAAGCAACAAAAACATGATACAAGAAAAACTAGCATATAACATCCAACATAATAAACAAACAAATAAATAAAACCAATGTTAAAAGAAGACAATTGTTACAAGTTATAGTCGAGGTTTTCAGAATATAAACAACACCAATACATCCAAAAGATAAGTACAAAAAAGAAAAGAAATTTATACATTGATCCTGACGCCTATTAAGAATTGATAACAACAATTATAAAGCAAATACAATCCAGCACTTTCATTGAACTAATCAATTTGAATATTACTAAAATTTGAAGATACAGACAAACTACCAACATATATATATATATATATATAACCGTCAGCCATAGTTGTGTTGCTTAGAACACAGAAAACAAAGAAACCGAGTGAACTCGAAAAAGGAAGTGCAGAATTCACACGGAATAATGAGATTTTAAGCCCTAATTTCCGCCACAGTTCCGTGAATTTGTGCAAGCAAAGCAAAGAAACGAAGCAAGCGAAATCACAGAGGAAATCAAAAGCGAGAAAACAAGAATTGCATCTATCACTACAAGAATTACATTAACAAGAAAAAAAAAAGAAAACAGCAAAATTAAGAATAAACAAGAGAGTTTCGTTGACATACCAAAAAAGAAATCGAAGATTGAGAGAGAAGGAATTGAAGAGTACCAAAGATTGGATAAAACAACGTGTGCTGTTGTTTTGCTGGCAAAAGATATTATATTTATAGTGTAAATTAAAGTAATCAAGATTTTTAAGGAATTTCCAAGAAGTGACGACGACGTATAAGGAGGAGAATACGAGAGGAAACTATAGGGAGGAGGCGTAAAGTTTATGGATTCTTTACTCGTTTTTGTGTGTCCGTTTCATCTTTCATATACACAAATTATTTTGGGTAAATTACATCGAAGATCACTAAATCATATTTAAATGACAATTTAGATATTAATTTTTCCAAAATTAAAAAAATGCCATTAGGATTATCAAATGGTAATAAAATGATTATTAAATTTTATTTAACTATTATAAAAATTATTAAATTTATTAAATATTTATAATTATTATAATATTATAGTAATTTTTAATAAAAGTTAATAATTTTAATAATTATTTTATAATTTTTATAGAAGCCATAAATATCTAGAATTACAATGGAGATTTACCAGCATAATTGTAAATTAAGCACCTAAATAGGATATTTTCCTAAAATCATTCACACAAAACTAGTAACTTAAGATCGCATAAGAACCGTTCAAGGAAAGATTAAAAAATCAACCAAAACTCGAACAATGATAGATACAAACATATATGATCGCATCGGCAAATGAATTGCAAAAGGGTATCAAACTATTGAAAGACCACAAAAAAAAAGTACAAATCAGAGTCGAGCGACGTGAAAAAACTATCCAAGAACGCAAATTAAGTATCTAAATCTAATCCGATGGTCCAAAGTAGGGAAGATCAACATGATAACAGATAAAAATTATCTTGATCAGTCGTGACGATGCAATATAAAAAGTAATATAAATAAAAATAATAATGACGATCGACATCCAACATAAAAAAATGAGTACCGCTATCGATCAACAAAGATAATTATATCAACATAGTTTAACTTTAATATTATATATATATATACATGTAAGGGATATTTCTTGATGTTGTCATACGGTTATAGTCAAAGGAGATATATTGATCGCAAATAAATAATTCATAAATTTATTAAATACTTCAAATTTGAATTCTAATAAATTTTTGGAAATAATTATTTTCTCTGTATTTTAGTTAGCATTTCCTCTTATAAGAATTGGACCCTGTCATTGTTTATTTAATCGTTGAATTGTATTAATTTTATTTTCTTTAAGATAACATTTGTTTAAAACTCGAGTTTTTTTAAACCACATGATTTGTGGATAGTGGCATAACCATATAAAACCAAAAAACATCCTAATCATATCGTAATGTAATAAATGTCAGTATTGACTTCAGAACCCGATTAGTGCAGACGACTTTTCTCATAATCACAGAATTGGAGTTCAGTTCATAATTGGATGATTGTTTGTTTGTCGTTGTAATCGACTTTTCTCATTGCCCAATCTCCAAGCAATGCAGTTTTGTTCACATTCATATGGATTCTGGCTTTGAACAATGATCAGGTTTTCACACCTACCAAATTCCCATTTCATTTAAGATCATCTATCGGTGCCTTAGTTACTTGTCTTTGTTCATCAATTTACCTATGATGTGATATTTATTTTAGTATTTTACATATGGGTATATAAACGATCTCTTGACTATAGGATATTGTTTTATTAAGTCACTTGATTTATTAAAGTTATAAAATGATCCTATGATTATATGAAATTATTTTATTAAGTCTATTGAGTATTAAAAGTTACAAAAAAGTTCACCTGACTCTTCATTATGTTCCGAACTTATCATTTTTTGTTAAAATTTTGACTACAATCTAAGTTGTATGTTAACATGTTAACTAAGATATGATAAAATTTGATCTCATAATCTCAAATAACTATCATATCTTAGTGAGCATGTTAACGTCCAACTCAGATGACCGTTGATTTTTTAATAGAAAATGACGAGTTTGGAACATAATGAATGGTCGAATGACCGTTTTGTAACTTTTAATAGTCGATGACCCAACAAAACAACTCCCTATAGTCGAGACTCGAGAGACCATTTCATAACTTTTAATAATCAAGGAGCTCGATAAAATAATGCCCTATAGTCGAAGGACCATTTGTGTACTTTATCCTTTACGTATTCATTTTAAGCAATCTTCAAAGCTTAATATATGAATTCTTTAATACAATAGATCGTATCATTGCACCTATCTCTAGATACAAAGAAAGTTTCTTTCCTGTCAAAGGGGGTAAAAAAAAAGGTCATTCTCTAGATACAATATAAGGAATCATTTTGCGGTTGTATTTTTCTGACTAGTTCGCTTGCTGCTCAACGAGGGAAGATATCCATCTCGGTTCCAAAGATTGTGCACACTATGGCAGTAAAAGCTGAATACAGGGTAACAAAATGAATTACGCTTTGAAATCCTTGATGGTTAAACATGAAATGAAAGTAAAATAAGAAACACGATTTGCAATCCATCTTAAATAATCCGCGTGGAGATGCTAGTAGTCGCATTTATCATCGGTGAGTGCTCCGGGATATACGTGCGACCTGTTGCATCATAAAATGATTCACCATGAAAGATAAAACATGAACATTTGACGTTATCCGGTAAGATAGTGTAACGCTTTACGGAATGAAGAAACTAGAATGAGATGAACACAATCTGCGAAATGTGCTCAAGGAAATGTAAACATAAAATGTAAAACTAACTTATGGTTGAAGAGAGACTACTTGATATTCGATCGAGAACAGGCAAGCTTAGTGCTAAATAATTGATCCCATAACAGATATATTCTAACATTTTTTATCTTGTCATTTTTAAGGAAGATCATAAAAAAAAAAAAAAAAAAAACCCAGATGGATACCTTTCTCCTTGACATCAATCCGTAAACTGTCCAGTGTTATTATGCCTTCAGTCAACGGAAGTAGCTCCATCTTAATGGTAGCCGTAGATTGAGCAGGAACACGTCTGAAGCAATCGATTGATTTGTTATCATTTGTGTATTCGAAGTGTGAAATAATATTAGAAAAAGGTGGTAACGATACATTACCCTAGTGGTACTCTACTCTGCAGCCAGACATGAGTACATTCCAAACCAGAAGTTGGAATGAAATTAGTTATTGGAGGCAACTGCTCATCAAAAGAAATAGACCTAGTCCTAGCATCACCATTCTGTTTCTGACTCTCTGATACAGCGGGCATTGAGCCAAGTCTCTGCATTGCACTAGCATGCCTCTCTCTACTTGCTTTCCCGGCAAAGGCAGAAAAACCAAGAAATGGGCTCCTTGGCGTTGTTGGATAAGAATTCAAGGATAACACAGATGGGGGTGAGTTAAAGGAGGCTGGAGCAAGAACGGCCATAGTTAGATCCTCGGGTGTCAAATTTGAAGCCTTAAGAGTTAAAACCTGACAATCACACAAGCAGAATGTTCTCACAGATTAATATGTACGAAGTGTGTGAGGACGAAAGAGGGTGGGAATCAGATAGAATAAAACCTGAACGGGAAGCTGGGAGGATCTTTCACTTGATCCAGAATATTGTCCTGACATTTCGCTTGTGACAGAGATCATAAGATCCCTTGAAATACGTGGTCTCCAATTAGTTGGTTGCTTTAAAAACAACCTTGACTCTATTTAACATGAAAAAAAAAAAACGATACTCTAATAGTTAGAAAATGTAATTAATGCAAAGCTTTCCAGATGATGTTGTGAACTCAAAGAAAAGGACACGCATACCACTGTAGTTGCAATGACATGCTACCATAATTGCATACTGGTTACCAATCAAAGAACTCCCCTTTTTGTTGAATGTCTTCAAAAGGGATTTCCAACTGGTTGCCTTGGACTCTTCTCCATAAGTTTTGATGTTCTTCCACATAGAAGAAGCTGGTTTTAAAATAAAAGAATGCTCTTCACCCCTCCTGCAACAGAAACTATCGATAAGCTCATGGGAAGGGACAGCCCTTCCCACTTAGACACCCATGAGACGGTAGAAACAATTTTTCTAAACCTTGATTCTGAACACACACAAGAAGTAGATAACTGCCATATGTTGTGAATTTACTATTTAATATTTTGCAACAATTTCTTGTTGCTCATAATATCAGCACATTATGCCATCTATTTTAAGAAAGAATGACTAAATACAGCAACAAAATATGGATATATTTTGCATTTTGGGGGTACACCTTAATCATCAAGCTAAACTGCAAAATGTCAAAGAACAGTTTGAAAAGTAAATTAAGGTATCTAGAGTGAAAACAACCTGAGAGGTAGATTTGGCAAACTATGATCGTTTCCAGCTTCAATACATGCAATTGGTAAGGAAGCAGGTGGTCCAACTTTTGAAGACTCTTCTAAAACAATTGTTATAGCATCTACGTATACAACAATTTCTGGTATATGTGCTGGAGAAACATTCTGCAAAATAACATCACAAGTGAATAAAAGAACCTATTGACCATGTCCACAGAGAGTGGAGGATCAGAGTTCATGATATACCAGGTATAGTAAGCATTAGGGTTTACCTTTATCTGAACGCAAAGAAGGTCATCTGTATTGCAGTTGGCAACATAAGAACGGATCTCAACAGGTTGAATTATTTCAAGTTTCTTACTCCATCTTCTTCCCGGGATATGGATCCCCCGTAACCCACAACTAACAGAAAATCTTTCCCGCTCTAGTGACACACCCCGGAAAGATAAAAGCTCTTCAACCCCTGTTCTTTGACTCTTCAAAATCTTTTGAGAAGAGTAACGATCCACCTCATCAAGGTCAAATGATGATTTAGAACTTTGGGCTTTAATAGGTCCCCGAGGAAGAGTAACACTTTGAGGAAGTGATGACATGGAGTAACTTCTTAAATTACTAAAAGAAAAGAGCTGAGAACCAGAGGAGGCAGAATGGCTAGACCTATGAGATGGGCTACCCATTCCAGAAGCAGAAGCAGAAGCAGAAGAAGAACCTAAAGGAGAAGATAAAGCACGAGGCGAAGGAAGTGTGTTATCTACAGGAAGCAACCATTTCAACAGTTCTCCACATGGGTCTTGATTTGCATAGACTAAGTTTTCCCGATTCTCAGACAGGTTTCTTTCCTGAAATTTCTCAAATTGAAGAATTTCAATGACAGGGTCTCTGAGAAAACCAATGCCAACATTTACTTGTAAAAGTACCTGCATCCTTCCAAACAGAGAAATAGAATGAGAATCATTAGCCTGAATCGACAAGTCACCTAGCGCAAGGAAAAGAGTTAATTCAATATGCCAATTAGAACCTTCCCAAAAGAATGCCAACTAGAACAATTGATCATGAAACAAAACGCATCCAAGAGCTTCTGCAATTGATTGCAGAAGCAGAGCAAGATAATTGTTAATTGAAAGAAATTTAAAAAACTGAATAAATTTCCTCTAGTACATTTTTTTTTTGGGGGGGGGGGGGCTAGGAAGATGAACATGCCAGCAGTCAGCTTGTAAAAGGTAGCATACTGAAAGTATGATTCAATCAAATTCAGTTTACATGACTAGCAATGCCGAGTAGGTTGGCTAGAAGGAGCCCTCGCGAGCAAGCCTCCGAATGACAAGGTAGAAATATCCTACCTGTAATTACTTTTTAAGTTTCTCACAATAGCATTGATCCAATAACTCAAACCTGTGACTACAGGTAATGTCAGCAAATCTGGATATCAAGCAGCAAGGTCTCAAGGAGCCCTCGCGAGCAAGCCTCCGAATGACAAGGTAGAAATATCCTACCTGTAATTACTTTTTATGTTTCTCACAATAGCATTGATCCAATAACTCAAACCTGTGACTACAGGTAATGTCAGCAAATCTGGATATCAAGCAGCAAGGTCTCACACTCTCATTAGCAAAGATCTATTGAAGAGGAGTTTAGGAGATCCACATGACATAACCAATAGTGCTCCCCATCTTGTCATCATTATGGCTAATCTCAACAGCTCAGCTAAAAAATCCCTCTATTCTCCTCCCTTTTCCTTTTCCAATAGGAAATTCAACTGACTGTAGCACTGTAATTAAAAGATTTCTTGTCAGAAAAGGGAGACAGATTTCGGGATAGGAAGGTAGATTCTTTACAGTTTTTGACAGTGGTGGATTGGAAACTGCATTAGCCTCTAATTGGAGGCAAGACAGAAAGGATGGTTCAAGAAAGAGGCAGAGACGGTTGCAGAGAGTGCATTACTTTTATGTGTCATCCCTAGGCAAATCTGGGTTTTAAGCACACCGCAGTTACGGCACCCGGCTGAATGTTTACCAGGTTGACAATAACACACATCCAACATGGTCAGACAGAACTATCATGCAGAGTTTACAATAGCATTGCATGCAAAACAGACAACTTATTACTATCAGCTAAACAAATTAAGTACAAATGCCTCCCGCATTTCCAAAGTCAAAGTAAACAGTAAAACAATATCATTAACAACATAGTTCTTCAGTGGTGCTTACCACTATATCTCCATTGGAAAGAGAGCAACACTTGACAGTACCTCTAGTTGCTCCACCAGAAACATTGGCATCAAAGTTTCCTCTATCAATAACAGCAGTCAGACTAGATATGTTCTTGGCAGTGGTTTCGGCTTCATTTTGAGCAGACCATTGACTATCTATTTCAGATGAATCAGAAGCTGTCTGAGGAGCACTTTTTTTCGACCACAGAGGTTCACCCCTCTCTGCAATCCTAACAAAGAAATGAGAGTTATTAAACCTTTTTAATAGTGTTTCAGTTCGTCTTTTATGCTCTTCCATTCTAAGAAATGATTCACTATCATGGACATCTTTTGCAGGATTAATCTTCTCTTTCTCCAATTTCTCATCATTCAGATCCATTACAGCACCACCATGATTCACTTCCTCTCCTCCAGCCACTGAATTTGTCTTACCCTCCGTGTTTAAATTTTGTTTCTTAGCGTATTTGCGCATGCCACTTTTACACATCACTGCAGCAACTTTAAAAGGGGTAATAATTTCTGTTTCCTGATTAGATGCTGATAAGCATGCTAGAACATGAACTTGTTCACCTGGAGAAGAAAACAGGAAAGATTTCAAGTTTCAAACAGAATATCTCCCGAGTGAATGCAAATAAAAAACATAATAAATCTTTAAAGAAATAAGAGGCTGAAAAGAAAATTAGTACCAGGAAAAACAAAAGAACGATCCAGGGGAAATAAGAGGCTGAAAAGAAAATTAGTACCAGGAAAAACAAAAGAACGATCCAGGGAACGTAATAAGCGTACGTCTGGTGCATGATTCCATTCTTCGGGGAGAGCCTCTAGACAGGCATATCAAGATTAGCATATAACTAAGAAATACCAAATACTTGCATATTAACTCAGGAAGCAGATCAAGAACAAAAACCGATAAAAACTTCAGGGAGATAGAAAATATCAGGAAATTACAATCAAGTAGAAATGTTCTCAAAATGATTCCATCAACATGGTAAACCTTAAGAATCTAACAAGCCATCACACGCACAATTCTATGTCATACCAATGACACTATAGTTAAAATTACAACCTATCAAAATATATCTATTAACCAACCAGATGTTCATAAACACTTCTTCTACTATCAAAATTTGGTACATTTAACTTTCATATTTCAGTAATTACTGCATTCTCAGTCTAATTTCCAGACGTCATAAATGAGCAATTGAAACAAATATCAAGCTGTTGGCTTTCTACGCAACCTCAAATATCTGTGATTCGGATGTTAAAATCAGATTGACTCGATGCACACCATGGTGTCATACACTTGATGCCAAGCTCTCTATGTCAAAACAAATCACTATTTTACAAAATTATCTTTTTTTTAAAGGAAAAAGGAGAGGAGAAAAAGGAACGAAAATGAGTGAAATCCAATCAATAAAAACATAAGTAGAGATGAGAAATACTACCAAAAATCAAGAATTACCAAACAAAAATGTGCGATTTAGTTGGCTTTAGTGGATAATTTGTTCTTTGTACTTACTATGTGGAATAATGATCCATCCATCCTCCTCAGTAACATCAGTGTGGCTCGGGATAACAGAAGCATTCTTATCACTAGCAACATCAGAATTCTTGCCTAAAAATCCATTGCCTTGTCCATGATTTTCAACCGTGGGATACTCAGGAAATGGATCTTCTACTATAAGCCTTTCCAAACTTTTCACAGACTTGGGAACATAAGATGACTCAAGCATATCCACTTGTACTGGAGGTGGTTCAGCTGTTCCCTGTTGATTGGGCCGTGGCAGAAGAAAGTTCATTGTTTCCACCAAAATCAGCTTCTGCAACGATAATTTACAACTCAAGTACTCGATAAACAAGTTCTACTATAAAAACAAGAATGCCATCATACCATGAACAACCAATGGCTGTTTCTCTCTCAAAATCAATCAAGTTTCTTACTCGGCTCCAGTCTCTCAAGCAAAAGTGAAATTTAAATACAACCAAACCAAATGAACAGAACAATTCTTCCTACAATAAGCTAAACTAGGCCAATTTTCATTCACCGAAAAATCCTTGCCCTTTAAGTCTTCAAATTATCTTGGATTTTAACTTTTTTATGTTTACAATAAATTTCAAGCAAAATATATAAAAATAACAATTCTAGCTAAGTGAAATCACAGAAGTAAAATCTAGTAAACTGGATAAAACTGTGAACTCTTACGATTCCTGATCGGAAACTGGATTAAGACATCAAGTAAAATCACTAATATTTACAACCAGGCAAATCTAAAGGTAAATAATTCAGAAAAAAAACGAAAAATGAAATCCAATAACAAAAATGCGATCGAACGATTTGCATATGATTAGAAATAGAAAATGAATGAGATAACAGGAAATGGAATATCGTGAAGCGATTACCCGATCGGAGATCAAATGCTGATGAGTTTTCCTTGTTCAGTCTTGTTAACTGCTTGGTGCCTGGGAAAAGGGAGATCTCATTTCCTGACGGGACATTTTAACCGCACTAAATTCGGTTGTTCGATTGATTTGAGTTTACGTTTAAATCTGCTTCTGCTCTACCCCATTCCCTGTAAGCCTTGAGCCCATTCCAGTAAAACTATCGCATTTATAGCCCAACCTTTGTAATTTTCCTTTGGGCTTAAATGATTTGCTTAAATCATGAGTTAATTAATCAAACGATATAATATTAAATTTTACTTAAACATATTTGATAAAATATTTATTTTTATTTTTAAATATCTTATCTTCTAATATTTTATTTTAAGACAATATTTCTAGTTAGATAAAAGTCGTTAATCGACTAATGCTCAATATTTGTAGTTGACGTAATAAGTATTATGTGTTCAAAGAGATTATATGATATGTACCCTATCATCATTTGCATGTGTCACATTATCAGTTATATATGTGATACATGTGAAATCATTTATATATATAACATGTATCATGTTATCGATTTAGAAACATATAATTATCACATCAAACGTTGATAGTTAATTAACTAAAAATTTATATTCAATCAAGAGGAAATAAAATATTAAAAATTAAATTAATGACAATAGTTAAAGGGACGATTTTTATTCATAGATGTCTCAGATTCGAGCACTGACGTTACCTAATGTTCTTCCGGTTTACTCAATCGAAACAGTTTCCTTATCCAAATCGGCGGATACAATGACGGCTAATGCTTTATTTACTTATTCAACTCCAACCCATGCAATGTCGATACGACGGCCTGCAGCTAGAACGACCTCAACGGTCGTCAATGGTACGGTACAAACAAAGTGTTACCCGACGAAGGCGTCATTGTTTAATAAGAAAGAAAAGCTATATATTCAACACTTTGTGCTTGAGAATTTTAATATCTCAAAGTTGGACTAGTGACCAAAATGTAAATTATGAAAGTTTAGGAATTAAAATGTAAAATTGTAAAAGTTTAAGAACAAAAAATGTAAAATTTTAAAAGTTATATTTTGGGTATATAAATAACTATAAAAATCTCATCTCTAAATTTTTCTCTCTGACCCTCCAATTTTCTAAAATTTCATTTTAGTCACTATATTGCACTATTCCACTTTATAGTGCACTTTCCACCAAATTACACCAATCCACTTCAAATTCTACTAATTAAAAATACCCATATAATTTTTCTAACCCAAAATTACCTTCTTTCAAATTTTTATAGACTTCCGATTCAATCCGATTATTTGAATATCCTTTCGATTTTTGTCCTTTAATAAACTTTTATACAAACTCCAAATCAAAATTTTGAACCCCACTAAAATAATTGTTTTGGGCTGAACTACTTATTTATATACCCAAAATATAACTTTTAAAATTTTACATTTTTAGTCCCTTAATTTTTACAACTTTACACTTTGATCCCAAACTTTCATAATTTACATTTTAGTCACCAGTCCAAATTTTGAGATATTAAAAATATTCTTATTCTGTTCTTTTCCCACTTTAGCAAAAATAACAAATTAAAAATAATATATTGATAGCATAATTGAGTTTAATAAGCAGTAGGCTTATTGTTTTCATTCTTAAGATTCGTATTATACAACGACAGTTATACTTTGGCGTACAAGCACTTCCTATTCTTTGTCCTTTTCTAATTTATGCATTTGATTTTTATTTCCTTATAAAAAACAAAATTTTCGATTATCAAATTCTAATGATGCAAACTCTAAATTAGTTCTAACATTAATTTCATGCCACATAACGTTATCCTAGAGAAATAAAACTAAAAGTACATCATTGGTTAAATAAAGAGCAACAACGGTCCCTCAGTTCTGGCATAGTTGCCAATTTACAAGCTTATCAACAATATCAGATGAGCACGGAGTTTGGCTTTTACGTCAATGGCCCGAGCTGAGTTTATGGGTTTCAATGAGTTCATCCAGCCGTTTGCTCGAATAACCCAAACACTTGCTGCTTCAATGAATTCAAGCTTTCGCCACTGGTTGTTGCGTTTCACTTGTAAGATCCCACTGATATGTATTTGTAGCGCTTGGCCCAGAAAAGGTAATGCATGAAATTCAACACGCTAAGCACGCACATAAGCCAGTAGAATCGATCGAGACGATACCCATTTATCGTATGACCAGAGAGCCACGGCTTGTTCCCGGAGCTCTCCGTCACGTTGTTTACTATCGATACGATCACGGAGCTCAAATAATACCCCATGGCCAAAGAAGTCCAGCAGAGAGATGTAGCCAAGGATCTCATGCTTGATGGAGCCTCCGTGAAGAAAAATTCAAGTAACCCTGCCAAGGTGAAAAGATCTGCCGATCCCAGAAACAAATACTGCAATGCAATCCAGAAAAATGTAATGGGTAATGGACTGTTCGAGTCGAGTAGGCCCGAGTTAATCGCCACCCTCTTTCGCTTTATTTCAATAAGAGCTGCCACTGCCATGGCTATTATCGAAAGAAATAACCCAATTCCGATTCGTTGCAATTGAGAGATGCCAGTCTCGGTTTTGTTTAGCCTCCGAGCGATTGGGATGATGAAGTGATCGTAAACGGGGGCTAGGATCATGATGAATACGACCGGGAAAACCGGAAGGGAGGCCGGTGGGATTTTCAATGAACCGAGCTTAGTGTTCATGGTGGCTGCTTGTTCGACGGAGAATGTGGAGAGCTGAGCTAGGCAGCAGTTGAGAACAATTGTGCAAGCGAATATGGGAAGGATTTTAAGCACAATCTTTACTTCCTCTACTTGCTGGACCGAACATTCAAGTGCCGGGCATGCAGGGTTGTTCACCACTGCTCTGTTTATGAATTTGAGACTAATTGATGGAATTTGATTATGTTTACCATTTTCTTCATCCCCCTTGCTGGTTTCGGTCCGATAGGAGGGGCTCGCGGCAAGGTTCACAATGACATTGCTCGGGCTTCGGCTAACGCAACTGTTCAGCATAGCAGCAACCAAAACCTGTACAAACACATACATTATTACATTCATTTCATCTTTTTAGGAATTCAATCAAGCAAAACACACTTTCAAGTTCCTTTTAGCATCTGAAATTTGCCTTGCAAATGGTTGTCAAAGGGCTGCCAAAAGGTATTTTGTTCCGATAAAACATCGAGCCGGCAAGGAAGATCGGGATCGATAACAAGATCGAGATCGTGGATATGGCGAAACCCCATTCCCATCCTTTGTTATCTTCTACCCACACGACGAATGTGACCGCAATAAGGGCACCAAACGAGAGACTGAAGACGAAGTAATTGAAGAAGGTGGATCTTTGCTTCCGTCCCTTTGGGGTAGTCTCATCGAACTGCTCGGCACCATGCGTTGGCAAAGAACCCTTTATACCTCCAATGCCGAGTGCCACCAGATAGAGTCCTACGAACAGCATACCCGCTTTGGCTCCACTAACTTCCTCGCATGGAATCGACGATGTTGATGGATGGCATGTGGGTGGCTTTAGGGAGGGTGTCCGAGCTTGTATTGTAAGAATGATCAAACCCTAATAAAATCATTTCGGGTTCACATTAATAAACTCGACATAATTATAATAATAAAAATATTCTTTAGAGTAAGTACGTATATATTAATAATATAAAATTTTTGTAAATAAGATATACACAAACAAAATTTTAAAATAAAAATAATCATATAAAACAAATAATTAATCAAATAATTAATCGAATTAAATTTAAATTTCACTCTCCACTATCACTTATCCACGCGCACACAAGATTTTGGAATAGAGAGTGGATGGAATGTCGTTATAATGAACCTGGTGCTGCTTTCTACTTGGCTTAACAAATATGGTGCATGTGGATTTGATTCTCACTTCTCATTTCAACAGACATTCCAAGTCTCACTTTGGGTCTACCACAGTAACCATTAGCCACACACATGGCTCATGAACCTACCCAAAATAAGTAACCCTTTCGTCTATATATATATAATGTCATTTTTGCACTTTGAAGATAAACCCAGTTTAAGATGTAATGGATTTGATCTTCGCTGTTCTGTCTACTTCTAATTTCGTCCCACTTAATATAAACTCATTGGTGGATCAAACTTCCGTATCCTAGACGTCGACCGTACGACCTCTCGTCGGACAAACGTGGCCTCCGGCAGTACCCAAAGCTGCGACGATTTGGACATTCTGACAACAGGTGTCGAACCAAAACAGTTACCATCTGTCCCATGTTGGGTGGGGACAAGATTTCCAAAGCAATAAGACAAGATAAGTATGGCCATGTTTACTATCTTTGCCGAAACCGAGAAAAAGAAGTTTCTCATGTCGTGAATGACGACAGAAATAGTTCAAAGAAACAAACGGGTCCCCGCCACCTTCTCAGTCCCATTTCCCAAGGCGTTGCGTTCGATTGGATACGTTTCCATTTTCACTAGGGACCCGACCATTTAGCCGTTTCATAATATCATTGGACACCCAAATAAATTTTGATGTTATCTAAATTCATGATACTAACATTTATGGCAAGGCCTCGAGAGATTAACAAAAACAGACGGTGTTGCTCGAGCCTATGGCGGCCCTTAAACCTTTAATGCTTTGCACAGTCAGATGTTTGGCCACTGTCATTTACTTTTATTTTTGTGCCCATTTTGTTGTTTTCTTAAAAGTAATCTTTTCATGCAAAAAAAGGCTCTAAATAATTGCTTTCTCAAATAGAAAATGCAGATGAAATGCAAAATGAAACCCCCAGGAATGAAATTTAATATGAAGTAGTACCAGAAACTCGATGAATGCGCTTATCAAGTAGATATGATACGTGGTGGTGGAAGTATCAGACAAGAAGCCTCCGAGCAGGGCTAGAAGGAAAGCTGTCCCCATGAAATTTGTGACATTGTTGGCCGATTTAGAGGGTGATAAGTGCATGTACTTGGACAGATACATCACCAGGTTGCTGGCATTCGCCAAGTAGGCCAAATTCTCCAGCACTTCCACAACTGAAAAACACGACCAAAATCTAATCATTACATGAACATGTCAGTCGAAACCCGGTCCATTCATAGGCAAACTAAGCTAATTACCCAACACAAAA